AATAAAAATCGTTCTATTAGACATGAATGACCAAGCAAGATGTAACTAACCTAATAAATTTAGCAACCGAGTTATGTATTGCGACAAAAACTATATGTAGCGCAATTATCTTACCATATTATTAAGTTATTGGTTTATTTATGTAAGAAAATAAACTAGGTTTTTCAAAATATGATATCAATTTTTAAAAACACTTTTGCCGGATGATTGACAATAACAACCGCACAATGACAGTAAACTTTTCAATTTTATTTTTTTTAATGTAGTACATACATGTTAAAGAAATTTTAGAAGTTCAGCCTTGTATGATGTGACAAAAATTGTTCACAATATGTTACACATTGCAATGCGAGTTTTTGGAAAATTTCGAAGACGAAGAAGAAGTTAGGCTAACTCAGCTGACAGTTAATGCGAGCTAGTAGGGAAGGTGCGTATTTACACGACCAGGTTTTTACAATACAGATATTTACTTGCAAGTACGAGTACGACGAACAAGTGCCGACCCAAAATACTCGCAAGTCTTCAAAGCACTTGCATATTTTAACATACACACACACACACACACACACACGCACGCACGCACGCACGCACGCACGCACGCACGCACGCACGCACGCACGCACACACACGATTTCAGGTAGGTCATCACTGGCAACACGCACTGGTTGTACAACTTAGTTTTCAGGTTTTGAAGTATACCTGACGAGAAAATGTGTCGTAATTTCCCGAACGCTGCCCAATCGAGTTGAATCCGTCAATTGACCTCTCGGTCGAAGTTGGACTTACCTAGTCGGACTATTTGCCCCAGGTAAACGTACTCGTCAACAACTTCGTGCATAGTGCTCCCAACAACGACAGGCATAGATGTGACATGGACATTAAACATGATCTTTGTTTTGTCCATGTTCATTTTAAGACCAATACATTCGGAGGCACTATTGAGGTCATCGAGCATAGTGCTTAAGTTCTCCAGTGATTCTACCATAAGGACTATGTCGTCGGCAAATCGAAGGTGAGTGATTAGATCCCCACATAGAAAAGTCTTCTAATGCAGTGGTGAAGAGTTTCGGGGAAATAACATCACCATGTCTTACACCTCTCTGCAGTTGGATACGTTTCGTACTCTGGTTCTGTACTCGGATAGCCATCGTTGCCCTACTGTACAAACACTTCAGCACTTCGATATATCGACAGTCAACTTGGTACCGCTGAAGAGACTGTAGCACCACCCAAATTTCGACGGAGTCAAAGGCTTTCTCATAGTCCACATACGCCAGGCAAAGTGGCAGATTGTACTCTTCGGAGTTCTGTACAATTTGCCGAAGGGTATGAATGTGGTCTATGGTACTAAAGCCTTTTCGGAAACCGGCTTGTTCGGGAGGCTGGAAGTCGTTGAGTCTGCGTGCCAGACGATTCGTAATGACTCTCGAAAACAGCACGTAGACACGGCTCAGAACGGATATCGATCTGTAGTTCTTCAAGAGGGCGTTGTCACCTTTCTTGAAAAACAAGACCACCGCGCTTCTGCTCCACGCCTCCGGAGTAGTGCCACCATAGAGAACGGAATTGAAGAGCTTCTGAAGGACTTCAAGTAAGGGTGTTCCACCCGCTTTCAGAAGCTCCGCTGTAATTCCACCCTCACCCGGGGCCTTGCCGTTTTTAAGGTGCCTGAGAGCCATTCTAATCTCGCTCAGACTGACGTCCGGGATATCATCGGAATAGTGTCGGATAAGAGTTGCTCTTGGATCGTTACTCACACTTGCGTGTAGCTCCGACTGATGTGTACAGGTGTCCATGGAACCTCTCAATCCCACTCAGAATCTCAGGTGTCCCGGAAACGATGCTGCCACGCTCAGTCTTCAGCTTTGACAGTTGGCTCTTTCTGGCAGACCTGGCAAAGACTTTGGAGCCCTGGTTCCGCTCGATCGCTCCTTCAATACGAGCAGTATTAAAGTTGCGTAAGTCTCCCTGCATGCATTTGGAGATGTGTCTGTTCAGTTGCCTGTATGCTGTCAAATCTGTTGACGATTGCAGCCTCATCTCCCGTCTAACAGCCATGAGATTAAGAGTGTGATCGGAGAGTTTTTGTGTTCTTCTGCGGCGGGTCTTGCAGAACTTAGCTCCGACCGCATGGACAGTTTCCACGAGCTTGTCATTCATATCGTCCACTGCATTGCAATCTTCTAGGCACTGAAAGCGGTTACGTAACTCGAGCTGAAAGGTTTCGGGATTCTGGATTAGAGCACGAGGGGGGACGGAGCGTTGACTTCATTAGACGAGACCTCCCCAACTTAACGTTTAGGTTCAGTGAGCCTCTAATCATTCGGTGATCGCTGCCAGTTTTCAACCTTGCGATCACTGAGACATCACTGAACAGTTGGCGTCTGGTCGTCATAATGAAGTCAATCTCATTTTTTGTCGAAACGTCGGGGCTCGACCGGGTCCACTTCCTGTGGAGCCGCTTCTGGAAGAAAGAGTTCATCATAAAGAGTCCCTCTTTCTCCATAAAGTCGGCCAGCTACTGGCCCCTACGGTTCCGTTGCCCTACCACAAATTTCCCTAACTTCAGCTCACCGCTTTCTCCTGTGCCTAGTTTTGCGTTGAAGTCTGCCATCAACACCGTGTAGTGAGTTTAGGAGGAATGCATGGCTCTAGAAATATCCTCATACATTTCCTCCACCTCCTCATCGGGATGTGCCAAGGTTGGTGCGTAAACCTGTATGACCTTCAGCGAATACCGTTTGGTGATTCTGAGTATCAGGTACGCGACCCTCGTCGACACACTCCCAATCTTTACAACGTTATTGACGAGAGACTTGTGGACGATAAATCCGACACCTCCTTGGGACAGATGGTCGCCCTCCCGGTGCTAGAACAAGTTGCCAGACTCGAGGGATTCCACCGTGTCCTCCCCTTCTCTTCGGACCTCGGATAATCCAATAATATGCCAGCGCAACTTGTCTACCTCTTTTTCCAACTCCAGTATCTTATCGTCAGTCCTCAGGGTGCGTGCGTTATATGTTGCCAGGTCGAGTCGTCATAGGTGGCAACCGAACCTCCATCGGAGATTCTTAGCCTCCTCTTCCCCGCTGTTACCATGGTCACCACCGTAACCAGGAATAGCGGGGCCGCCAGGGACTGAGGGCCGTTTGTTTGCGTCGTTACTCATGGGGGGATATTTGTCATAGTTGCCACGCTTGGCGAGCGGGTTGACAACCGCAGTTTTTTATTATATTATTGTTGTTATTAGGCAGATGCTGCTGCCCATCTCCCGCCTGTCTTCTTCTGTCGCCTCTTACAACACCCACGGGAAGATATGGGGTAGTGGATATTCTCAACCGCCACCACACGGCTACAATTTGTTATTGCCATATTATTTTTCTGTAAAAGCACACTTTTTCGTCACTAGTCACTACAAATCACAATAGTAAATATTATTAGTTTAAGTGGGTAATCTAAAATATTTTTTATTTCCACTGTCCTAGTTATAGGTCAGTAGGCATAATAATTGGGATATTATCCTACAACGAAGAGTCGAAGTTTTTATATCTGTTTTATTCAAATATAAATAATATCACGTATTCTTTCGAGCGCATAAGGTTCGTTCGAATATAAAAAAGAGTCAGTTAATATAAACTGACGTTAGAATAATTTGAGAAAGAAAGAGCATAATATGACGCGTATGTTAGTCGTGGAAAACGGTCAAACCGTATTTGACTTAGAATTGTAGAACCCACTGTCTACAACGTACTCGTACAACGAGACAGAGAATGCTATAGACACAGGCAAAGTATGTCGCAAAAAGAGACAAAAAAATACGTCACTATATTTAGAGTTACAAGTGTGAGGAAAATTTACCCCACAACTACCGCCGAGCCCCCTAACCTAGCCTGGTTTTTGATATATTTTTCTATCTTTCTCTTATATTGTGGAGTATTTTAAGGGACACCAAATGAAAATCATTTTGTTTTATTTAGGACTAAAACTATAGACCATCAATACTTAATAACACATACTACAAATGAATGGAAAACGACGCAACCGCAACAGGCAAAGTTTGGGCATTGTTTCCTATCTTCGCCTGCCTTGTATATATCAATAATATAGGTACCTGCCTAGTTGTCTACAAGTGTAGTTGTCATACTAAATAAAATTTGAGAAATTGAACTTAATATCCATATCCATAGAGTTGATTTTTCTAAAAAAAAACAAGCAGGCGAAATTTGGAACCCGTCTGAAGTTAGTTTCATACATTTCTTGGGACTTGCCTAAGGTTGTCAAAACCCAAAGAGATAAGAATAATAAAAATTAAAGTATTTTTGTTAGGTTTTTTATTTTATTTGTTACTCAAACTACTATTTGGCTTTCATTTTGGATACCTTATGCTGATTCGACCAGACACAAATAAGGATAATTTTTAGTTCCATAGTTTTCTAAAACGTCAAAAAGGAAAGGGATTGGTAAATCACAGCTAATTTTAGAATTGATTAGGTTGCAAGCTTCAATTTTTGCCCGACAAACTACTATACTAAAATTTGACGTTTGCTATCTAATTTCATGGCACGTAATTCAGCTGAGATCCTTTTTTAGTTTTGACGAAAAAGGTAATAAAACTTATAAATATAATTACGACTAGACTTATCGAATGAGTACAGTCACTTCTTTTTAGTGATTCGAAGTTTTTTGAAGTCGTCTTCTCCTCGGATGACCAGTGCTGGACTGTCGTATTTCTCTCTAACAAGAATGGCTAAGGTTTTGATCGAGCAATACTTGTAGTGAAGTTCCTTTGCAACCTCCCGACAGTTAAGAAATAACAGTTTCTTCTGTAGTGTAAGGTGTTCATTCAAATATATAGTGGTAGATTGGCCCTGAATGCTGAGCTGATCAGACCTCAGTGATTTTGCTTTACTTTATATGCTGCAATTATATTGTCCCTATGTCTATTATTTGTGCTGTGTGCATGAGGAACCCGATGTATCAACACTATGTCTGCCTTTGAAATGCGGAAGCGGATCACTGTTCCAATGGCTTCGATGATACCTATAAGGTTTTCATTTTTACGCTCCGGTACGTTACAGATTTCAATATTTGTCTGTCTGGCTTGTTATTCTAGGGAGTCAATTCTGTACTGTAGTCTTGCAGTTGCTGATGTGGTCTGTTCACTAGCAACACGTGCGATTTCATCGACTCTTTGTTTCAAAGTACCATGTTGGTCAGATTGAAATTGTATGGAGTTTTGAAGGGACGATAATATGATAGGTATATTGCCATAGTTGCCAACGCCAAGCGTGGCAACTATGGCAATATACCCCCCATGAACAATTACACAAATAGACGGCCTCCAGTCCCCGGCGGCCCCGCTATTCCTGGCTACGGTGGCGACCATGGTAACGGCGGGGCAGGGGGTGCTAAGAATCTCCGGTGGAGGTTCGGTTGCCACCTACGACGACTCGACCTGGCAACATTTAACGCACGCACACTGAGGACTGACGAGAAGATCCTGGAGCTGGAAGAAGAGATAGACAAGTTGCGCTGGAGTATTATAGGATTATCCGAGGTCCGAAGAGAGGGGGAGGACACGGTGATTCTCGAATCCGGCAACTTGTTCTATCACCGGGAGGGCGACCATCTGTCCCAAGGAGGTGTTGGATTTATCGTCCACAAGTCTCTCGTCAACAACGTTGTACAGATTGAGAGTGTGTCGACGAGGGTCGCGTACCTGATACTCAGAATCACCAAACGGTATTCGCTGAAGGTCATACAGGTTTACGCACCAACGTCGGCACATTCCGACGAGGAGGTGGAGGAAATGTATGAGGATATTTCCAAAGCCATACATTCCTCCAAAACCCACTACACGGTGTTGATGGGAGACTTCAACGCAAAACTAGGCACAAGAGAAAACGGTGAGCTGAAGTTAGGGAAATTTGGAGTAGGGCAACGGAACCGAAGGGGCCAGCAGCTGGCCGACTTTATGGAGAAAGAGGGACTCTTTATGATGAACTCTTTCTTCCAGAAGCGGCCCCACAGGAAGTGGACCTGGTCGAGCCCCGACGGTTCGACAAAAAATGAGATTGACTTCATTATGACGACCAGACGCCAACTGTTCAGTGATGTCTCAGTGATCGCAAGGGTGAAAACTGGCAGCGATCACCGAATGGTTAGAGGCACACTGAACCTAAACGTTAAGTTGGAGAGGTCTCGTCTAATGAAGTCAACGCTCCGTCCCCCTCGTGCTCTAATCCAAAATCCCGAAAACTTTCAGCTCGAGTTACACAACCGCTTTCAGTGCCTACAAGATTGCAATGCAGTGGACGATATGAATGACAAGCTCGTGGAAACTGTCCATGCGGTCGGAGCTAAGTTCTGCAAGACCCGCCGCAGAAGAACACAAAAACTCTCCGATCACACTCTTAATCTCATGGCTGTTAGACGAGAGATGAGGCTGCAATCGTCAACAGATTTGACAGCATACAGGCAACTGAACAGACAGATCTCCAAATGCATGCGGCGAGACTTACGCAACTTTAATACTGCTCGTATTAAAGAAGCGATCGAGCGGAACCAGGGCTCCAAAGTCTTTGCCAGAGATCTGTCTGCCAGAAAGAGCCAACTGTCAAGGCTGAAGACTGAGTGTGGCAGCATCGTTTCCGGGACACCTGAGATTTTGAGTGAGATTGAGAGGTTCTATGGGCAGCTGTACACATCATCGTTGGAGCCACACGCAAGTGTGAGTAACGATCCAAGAGCAAGTCTTATCCGACACTATTCCGATGATATCCCGGACGTCAGTCTAAGCGAGATTAGAATGGCTCTCCAGCACCTTAAAAACGGCAGGGCCCCAGGCGAGGATGGAATTACAGCGGAGCTTCTGAAAGCGGGTGGAACACCGGTACTTGAAGTCCTTCAGAAGCTCTTCAATTCCGTCCTCCATGGTGGCACTACTCCAGAGGCGTGGAGCAGAAGTGCGGTGGTCTTGTTCTTTAAGAAAGGCGACAACGCTCTCTTGAAGAACTACAGACCGATTTCCCTTCTGAGCCGCGTCTACGTGCTGTTTTCGAGAGTCATTACGAATCGTCTCGCACGCAGACTCGACGACTTCCAGCCTCCCGAACAAGCCGGTTTCCGAAAAGGCTTCAGTACCATAGACCACATACATACCCTGCGGCAGATTGTACAGAAGACTGAAGAGTACAATTTGCCACTTTGCCTGGCGTATGTGGACTATGAGAAAGCCTTTGATTCCGTCGAAATTTGGGCGGTGCTGCAGTCCCTTCAGCGGTGCCAAGTTGACTGTCGGTATATCGAAGTGCTGAAGTGTTTGTACAGTAGGGCTACGATGGCTATCCGAGTACAGAACCAGAGCTCGAAACCTATCCAACTGCAGAGAGGTGTAAGACAGGGTGACGTTATATCCCCGAAACTCTTCACCGCTGCTTTGGAAGACGTTTTCAAGCTACTGGACTGGAAAGGATACGGTATTAACATCAATGGCGAGTACATCACTCACCTTCGATTTGCCGACGATATAGTCCTTATGGCAGAATCGCTGGAGGACTTAAGTACTATGCTCAATGACCTCAATAGTGCCTCCCAACGGATAGGTCTTAAGATGAACATGGACAAAAAAAAGATTATGTTTAATGTCCATGTCACACCTATGCCGGTAGTTGTTGGGAGCACTATGCTCGAAGTTGTTGACGAGTACGTTTACCTGGGACAAATATTCCGACTAGGTAAGTCCAACTTCGACCGAGAGGTCAATCGACGGATTCAACTCGGCTGGGCAGCGTTCGGGAAATTACGACATATCTTCTCGTCAGGTATACCTCAATCTCTGAAAACTAAAGTGTACAACCAGTGCGTGTTGCCAGTGATGACTTACGGATCAGAGACGTGGTCCTTTACTGCTGGCCGTATGAGGACGCTCAAGGTCGCTCAGCGAGCTATGGAGAGGGCTATGCTCGGAGTTTCTCTGCGTGATAGACTCAGAAATGAGGATATCCGCAGTAAAACCAGAGTGACCGACATAGCCCAACGGATTAGTAAGCTGAAGTGGCAATGGGCCGGCCATATAGCTCGAAGAACCGATAACCGATGGGGAAGAAAGGTTCTCGAGTGGCAGCCTCGTACCGGTAGGCGTAGTGTAGGGCGACCCCCCACTAGATGGAGTGACGACCTGGTAAGATATGCAGGAAGTCGATGGATGCAGGTGGCTCAGGACCGTGCTTTGTGGCATTACTTGGGGGAGGCCTATGTTCAGCAGTGGACTTGTGAAGGGCTGTGATGATGATGATGATGATTAGAAACATTTTGTCTCAGGGTGGCATGCTCCTCTCGGAGAGACTTAATTTCAGATTGGATGTCAATTAAGGAATTTTTAATTTTTTTTCTAATACTCATAAAGTTAGAGTTCATATCGTTACGCCACAAATTGCTAGTATTAAGCAGTTCATTAAATTTCTCGATGGAGACCGAATCTGACGGTATGTGCGCCTCACTTTTGTTTAGAATATCGCACGATAGATCCATAGACTGTTCCATAGATGGCACCTGATGACGTACAGGTGTGCTTAAGTTAGTTTTTACACGTCTTGTTACATTCATACATGTAGGGCAAGTCCAAGTGGAACGAAATTCTTTGAAAACGATACAAACTGCTCCTTGCTGCATATATTTAGGCATTCATGGTGATAGTGGATATCACAAGTGTGGCAATGTATGGAACAATCTGTGTTCAGTAATAGACGGCAACCACCGCAGATCATTTTGCATTTTTTTAACTTCTTCGGGTTAGAAAATAATAATTAAAAAAAGGGTTTTATTTTCCTTCACTTAAAATAATATTAAAAATATTTTTATTTTCCTTCTCCCAACAGAGACAAAATGAAAAGTTTAATTATAAAAAAAATAGTGAAATTTTCTATCCTCTAGTGCAATAAAAAGTCAAGTTGCTCTATGGATATTTATTTATAATCAACGTTCATTTCGTACACCATTTCCGCGTGAATGTTATTGTGTTGAATTTTGAATTTTTCTAGTGTTTTATTATAAAATTGTAATGAAAGTTTTTGTTTTAATATAATTTATCTTTTTACGTAAATAATTTCGAGTAATATATATTGAAATAATTGTGATTTTCACGCTGCCGACATTCTTTTGGCATGTTTTGCTTTTGTTATCAAAATACTATATTACTAATAGTCTTTTTGTAATGAAGTAAAACCTGACTTTTATATAGTGAATTTTGTATAGATTTTACCATGTCAAATTTCTTCATAGTCGCGTGCGACCGCTGGGGATTTGCCAGGCGCATTCGACTGCATGTGATTTTTATTGGGATTGAGGGGTTAAAAAATTTAGGATACCTATATACTACAATTCTATGCAGAAAGCTTAAAATAAACTTGGTGAGCATTATTTTGGAAATCAAAAATTATACAACCAAATAAGTTGTATTTAAAAGTTTATTTTACAAAATTATTTATCATCTACTGCGATACTCACTTTATCTGATAACGAATCTTCACAGAAATGGATAATTAAGGATTGTTCTCTTCTCTTATATTATTGAAAGCGATATCTCGTTATAGTCCGATAATATTTAATTGTTTAGTCCTTTCCACTACATTCGCCCAATTTTCAGTGGTGTCATGGTTACATGCATCATTCAGCAATCCCAGCATCTTGTTTGCTGTAAATGGTGGACTTATGTTAGTTCTTGCTGCGTACCCTTTCACATTTGCCCATATTAATTTAATGGCGCTGTAGTGAGGGTGGTACGGCGGTATTTTTAGAACTGTGTGAACCTATATTCTACTGCAAGTTCATCTATAATGTATATGTTGAATTATTTGGTGGCTTGGCTTGCACTGATGGTTCCCCCAACTTTCTCAATAAATCATCAAACCATATTTCAAACACTTCTGTATACATTTCCTCGTGATAATCTTTGATTTTATCGATTTAAAAGACAATCACGCTCCTTCGATAAATCCTTTCATAGTTCCCGATTGACAAATAATCTTTCTCCTTTTCTTATAGTCACTTTCAAGATCGACCCTGCATATCATCGAGCGTAAGCTAAATCGAGCTGCAAATCCGTTCTTACTAAATATCTAAAAACTTTAGACTATGAAGCGACTGAAAACCTATTAAAGTCGCCTATGTAATTTATAATAATCTTGTTGAAATCTTAATATTTTCTTGTCTTCATTTTGGTTTAAAATGCAATTATATGTTAATTCTAACTCACGCAAGGACAGGTACGCGCCCAATCACTCATACACACACTCCCACACACAAACACACACACACGCATACAACAGGCACGCGCGCACACTAGCACACACGCACAATTACTCCGAACATAGTACACACACGTATTGATGTGAAATTTACTGCAGTTCATTTTATTTACTTAATTATAATCTCCGTTCTGATTTATATTCCTCGGACTGTTGCTCTATACGCGGGGGAGCCCTGGTAACCTATAATACAGGTTTTTTATACCTACATCAGGCACCAGTCTCACACAACTTAGGTACCTGTCTGACACTTTTGTAATACTTAGCACTAAGTAATGGCGGTTAATATAGCGCATATCGCCATATTATAGCGCGCTATCTCTCCATAACGCATAGCGCGTACTATGTTAGTAGTCGCCATGGCGCTATGACGCTTTGGCGTTATTCATATCCAGGGTTTCTAGACGTACGAGAAATCTCGTACCATTACGAGATTTAGAGGGTCTGTACGAGATTCAATATTAATAAAAATCTCGTACACTTTTTTACGAGATTTTAACAATGACGACTTCTTTTGCATACCTATATCAGCCAAAAAGTTAGTTTATTTAGTAGTAGTAGGAAATATGCTAATTTATTTACTTTTTCTTATCATTAACCATCCAACACAAAACGATCGACTCGGCGCATCACTAAATGCACTACCTCAACACTAAATGAAACTTGACAACTTTGAGTAGAAAAGCGTATCGGCTGCTTTGGATAAATATCCGTTGTCAACGGTTGCTTTACACCTATTATATCATAGCATCATAATAATTATCGAAATGTTATATTAGCATTGTAATAATGACACCATAAATAATCGATTAAAAATGGGAATCGATTTTAATGAGATTGGTGATTGGCAACATTTTTATTTTATCGACAAACCACAAACTAATAAGAGTACTAACAAACTAATGAATTTCGCATTTACCTGATTTTATTTTTATTATTTCAGTACCTTTTTTTGTGAAAAATATTCCCATCTTTTTAGGATAAATGAATATCGCGATTAATAACCATAAATAAAGATATATTTTTTTTAACAAATGCATATTGTTGGGCGTTCCATGGCCGAAAGTGGGCATCTCCCTTTATGCTTTTACGAGATTATCTGTTGAAATTACGAGATATTTAGCAACCCTGGTACGAGAAAAAAAATTGTCATCTGGCAACCCTGTTCATATCGAGTGGCAATTGTTCTAGCAGCAGCGCTGTTGGGAGTAGACTTGTGACGCAAATTTAATCTAGCAGCACGCTATAAATCGCGCGCGAACTATTTAGTGTTAGACGTTGTTTAGTTAGTGTATACTGTATATTTATAAGTGATCAAAGGACACAGTTGTCTGCTACAAAAGAAGCCTAACTAATGTTTTTAAATGTAAATGAAATATAAAGAGCGTTCATTGATTTCTCTTTACCACTTTATTTTATTTTAATCTAAAATGCGACCTGTTATGAAATAATGTTCTTATAACATAGCACGCGGCCTATTCAATGAATGACACGTAGTATAGCGTGCTCCGAGATATAGCGTGCTGCTAAACTTAACGCGCTTGCCGGCCTCTTAGACACTTTCTTATAAATAGCGCGCTATAACATAGCGTATTTAATAGCGCGCTAGAAATTTACAGTTTATAGTCTGTAGCGTGCGATTTATACGTAGACAGAGAAACCTATAGACTAATGATCGGCGTGGCCTCGAGTGAGAAAGGACGATAACGAATTTTTAGGTTATACAATAATCTTTATGACTTTTAAACACATTTAGATAAAAAATTTTATTGTTCTGAGAACTGAACTGAATAAGTTCTAATCTTAAGCTCACAAAACACTTTTTTCTCACTTAAATCAACTTGTAAACTCCTTAAATCACTACGCTGTTAAAGTTGTTTAGCAAACTGTAGACTGGTACTAGTACTTTGCTAAACAAAAAAACCAGCACGGAGAAAGGGACAAACAATCACACCGCTCTTTCTCATTTCTATGCAAGACGTATGCATAAATCTATCTTTTTCGTGTGCGAATGCGAAAAAAGGCGTCAATTTGTCTATAGGTTTCTCTGTCTACGGATTTATAGTCCTTTTGAACAACTTTAGCACTAAGAATACCTATTATGAAGAGAGAAAAATGCATTCGTTCATTCATTCTTATGCCATATATTTCAATGTGATAATGATAAAATTTAAGTTAGATTAAAGTCTACCAAATATTTAAAAAAAATATCGTGCGGTATAGTGTTGTAGGGTGTAAAAGTGACAGTGGAGCGAAAATGCCTGGCTTGTCTTTTCATTCGTAAGTATACCACTCTTTATCGGTGACAAGGCATTCTGTAACATTTTATAAAACTTATATATTGTATATATTAATGTACTCTGGATGCAAACTTATCGTTAAAGAAGCACAAAATAACAATTCGAAATTTTGGCATAAATTATTGGTGCTGCCAACTTTTTTATAAATTATTACCGACTATTATAGGAAATAACAATATGTATTCCGCAGTGCAGTGGTAAATTGAATATCTGAAAAATTAACAGGCTTGTTGTAGTTTTCCTGAACATAATAATTTACGTCGGAATTGGATTATAGCGATTATAACTATAGGGCGAACAGATTGGACATAATTTGAGTTGACAACACTGCATGGCACGTCATCATATTGTCATTGACAACTTGAGAAGTTGAATATTTGAGTATTTGACTTGTAAATAGAAATTTTAATTCAATTTATATGATAATATTTTAATTAATTTTAGTATGTATTGAGTTTCAATTTAATCCGAGTTATTTAAGCGAATATGGCAGTTAGTAAAACAAAAATGAGTTCTGTAACCGTGCCTAAAAAATCAAAGGAAGAAATGAACGTAAGACTGTTACTTAATAAATGTGAATTAATTGCTAAACAAGAACCACTGGATGGGAACTGGAGACTGAAAAAATACGTGGAAGCTTTAAGTGAAATGATAACGGAATTAAAGACCGCACCAGAGTGAGTTATTTAACATTATTTTTGATTGAAACCAGCTTCAGTTTCTGTGTGTCATATATATAGTATAAACTGAGCTAAAGATCAATTTTCGATTTATTACAGTAAGCCATCAAAGGATTTGTTAAATGAATATTCAAAACGTGTGGCATTTTTAAAAGGGCTGATCCAAACAGCAAATTTAAATAGTCCTATTGAGAAGGTATTGTCCTTTCCTTGTTTCATTTGCTTAAAATATTAGAATCTATTTTTATATGAATTCTATTTGTTTAATAGCCAGATCAATAAAAGAGTAAAGACAGAATCGTGGTAAATAATTGCCACAAATTAAGTGAAGACTAATGTTGGCAATGTGACTTGATGTCAATCATTGGTAGTGTATTAGTTTGGACATTGCGAAGGCCTTCGGTCTGGTTTGGCACAAAGCACTACTTTCGAAGTCCCTTCCTATGGGCTTTCCGAGAAATTGTGCAATTGGATCACCAGCTTCTTGCAAATCCAAGCGTAGGTCGTTGCAGGGAGTGCATGCTTCGATTACAAGCCTATTAATGCTGGCGTTCTATAAGGCTGCATGCTATCACCAACACTGTTTCTTCTGCATATCAATGATATGTTGCAAACTGGTAGCATTAATTTCTATGCCGATGACAGCACTGGTGATGCCCTATACAACTGCTGTGCCAATATTTCTTGGGAAAATATCGCCAAGTACCGAAACAAACTTGTGTCTGAAGTCGAGTCTTTTCTGAACAAAGTTTCAGTTGGAGGCGATTTAATCTAGTTTAAAATAATCCTCAGAACACAAGTTTGATCTCCTCAGTTTCAAGGCTCTCCCCTTGTTGCCTCAGCCAGTATCGATAATCTCTGACTCGAAATATCGAGTTATGTGCAGTTTCATGGTCATTTGGAGAAGAAGGTCAAATTGGCCTCTAAAAAGCTTGGCATACTCAGCAGATTGGGACAGCATTTCATGCCAGCACACCACCTGCAACTTTACAAGGCGCAGGTTCGTCCTCACAAGGAATACTGTTCCCATCTCTGGGCTGGGGCTCCTCCAGTGCCAGCTCCTTCCACTTGACCATATCCAGCACAGAGTGGCACAAATCTTCAACGACTGAGTGGTTTACAATCGGCTTGATTCACTGGCGCTGCTAAGAGATGTACCATCCCTTTGCATTTTCTTTCGCATTTATCATGGAGAGTGCTCCGAGGAATTGTTCAGATTAATCGCAGCTGCCAAATTTTGTGAACACACATAGCGGCAAAACTCCTGATACCACGCCATCTGGATGACTGGTGGTCTACCACTGTGCAATTTAAAAGAAGTTTTCTTCCTCGCACAACTTCCTTGTGGAATCGACTACCACCTGAGATTTTTTTGGACCGATACGACTTAGGGACTTTCAAGAAAACAACTTACTTTTTTCTAAAAGTCCGGCAACGCACCTTCCACTCCCCAGCAGTTGTTTATGGTTGGTGGTGGTCACTTACCATCATGTGAGCCGTGTGCTCATTTGCCCACTCTGCTATAAAAAAAGGACAGCGTAAAATTTGTGTATATGTGCTAGAGAAAAAAACTAGTGTTATTAAATTTAAGAGTGGAGTAAACTCTTAATCTGACCTAATTTAAGGAATTACTGGGAAGCAAAACATGAACACGGGAGTGATAAAATTAATACGCATAAATAATCTCAAATTTTTGTTATTTCAATTAAAATTTTTACTAAACAATGCCAATGAGAAGCGATACCAAATGTAAATAAAACCAATGCCAGGTTATTAGGAATAGCAGGGGTGCGTAACTTTTTGATAGTTAGATTATAATATATATTTAGGTAGACAAGATAGTTTTAAAAAATGTCTAGCAAACCAAAAAATACACTTTATAAATTTTGTTATAATTTGGATTATTGTATAATGTAGATTTAAATTAAATAAAAGCTTTCTTCGCCATCTCTTTTCTGTATGGGTTTTTTATCATTAGGCCAAGTTTCGTTAACATATTTGTTGGTATTATATAACCATATTTTTTCATTCACAGCAAAACTATTCACTTAAAATTAAAAATTAAATTAAAATGATATACTTACTTTACTTACATGCATCTTTAATGAATTAAGAAAAGTTTTATTATTACAGTTGCTATTTTTTAAATAACTTTAAGATAACTTTAAAGTACACTCCGAACCAACAAGTTTTAGTTAAAACTACTAAACAACATTCATATATATCCTATTCCTACACATACCATTGGATGTTTCTTTTTGGAGAAGTAAAATCTGTTGATTTATCTCTCGACGTACATGGTTGTGGTTTCATCACTAACCACTCTTAATAAAAAACAATTATCAACAAAACAAAATAACATTAATTAAATAAACAACAATTACTAAAATGGCCTCTCGAATGTTGGCGAACCCTGACAAATTTTTGCCGGGCAAACAAAACATTACGACAAATATACCAGATGGAAAGAGATACATAATAGATTGTCAACTCCACAGTCGTTTTTAGGGAAAATGACCTTTCATATCACTGCAAGTTGGCTGTACTATACATTTTTACATTTTTCATTATTTATTATGTTTTCAAAAATTTATTATGTTTACATACACAATATTTTCTATAATAATGTGATGTATATGTTATAGGAATATGATAGCGAGAACTTTTAAGTGACAAGACATTTTAGCAAAATATTTTTATAAATAGATATTTATTTGTTTACACTTATTGTATAAAACACCTTAATAAAAAGGTTTACAACAGATCAACTTAATAAAAAATACACCCTTTTAGAATTCTCTACCAGTCAACCAGATATGCACAAATAATGTGATAGGTGCCAAAAATAGTATAATCAACATTGTGGTAAGTCAGAAAACAATCATCATCATCATTACAGCCCTTCACAAGTCCACTGCTGAACATAGGCCTCCCCCAAGTAATGCCACAAAGCACGGACCTGAGCCTCCTGCATCCATCGACTCCCTGCATGTCTTACGAGGCTACCACTCGATAACTTTTCTTCCCCATCGGTTATCGGTTCTTCGAGCTATATAGCCGGCCCATTGCCACTTCAGCTTACTAATCCGTTGGGCTATGTCAGTCACTCTGGTTTTACTGCGGATATCCTCATTTCTGAGTCTATCACGTAGAGAAACTCCGAGCATAGCACACTCCATAGCTCGCTGAGCGACCTTGAGCGTCCTCATACGGCCAGCAGTGAAGGACCACGTCTCAGATCCGTAAGTCATCACTGGCAACACGCACTGGTTATACACTTTAGTTATCAGAGATTGAGGTATACTTGATGAAAAGATGTGTCGTAATTTCCCGAACGCTGCCCAGCCGAAGTGAATCCGTCGATAGACCTCTCGGTCGAAGTTGAACTTACCTAGTCGGACTATTTGTCCCGGGTAAACGTACTCGTCAACATCTTCGAGCATAGTGCTCCCAACAACTACCGACATAAGTGTGACATAGACATTAAACATGATCTTTGTTTTGTCCATGTTCATCTTAAGACCTATTCGTTGGGAGACACCATTGAGGTCATTGAGCATAGTGCTAAGGTCCTCCAGCGATTCTGCCATAAGGGCTATATCGTCGGCAAATCGAAGGTGAGTGATGTACTCGCCATTGATGCTAATACCGTATCCTTTCCAGTCCAGTAGCTTGAAAACGTCTTCCAACGCAGCGGTGAAGAGTTTCGGGGATATAACATCACCCTGTCTTACACCTCTCTGCAGTTGGATAGATTTCGAACTCTGGTTCTGTACTGGGACAGCCATCGTAGCCCTACTGTACAAACACTTCAGCACTTCGATATACCGACAGTCAACTTGGCACCGCTGAAGGGACTGTAGCACCGCCCAAATTTCGACTGAATCAAAGGCTTTCTCATAGTCCACATATGCCAAGCAAAGTGGCAGATTGTACTCTTCGGTCTTCTGTATAATCTGCCGCAGGGTATGTATGTGGTCTATGGTACTGAAGCCTTTTCGGAAACCGGCTTGTTCGGGAGGCTGGAAGTCGTCGAGTCTGCGTGCGAGACGATTCGTAATGACTCTCGAAAACAGCACGTAGACGCGGCTCAGAAGGGAAATCGGTCTGTAGTTCTTCAAGAGAGCGTTGTCGCCTTTCTTGAAGAACAAGACCACCGCGCTTCTGCTCCACGCCTCCGGAGTAGTGCCACCATAGAGGACGTAATTGAAGAGCTTCTGAAGGACTTCAAGTACCGGTGTTCCACCCGCTTTCAGAAGTTCCGCTATAATTCCATCCTTGCCTGGGGCCCTGCCGTTTTTAAGGGCTCCAACGACGATGTGTACAGCTGCCCATAGAACCTCTCAATCTCACTCAGAATCACAGGTGTCCCGGAAACGATGTTGCCACACTTAGTCTTCAGCTTTGACAGTTGGCTCTTACTGGCAGACAGATCTCTGGTAAAGACTTTGGAGCCCTAGTTCCGCTCGATCGCTTCTTTAATACGAGCAGTATTAAAGTTGCGTAAGTCTCGCCGCATGCATTTCGAGATCTGTCTGTATAGTTGCCTGTATGCTGTCAAATCTGTTGACGATTGCAGCCTCATCTCCCGTCTAACAGCCATGAGATTAAGAGTGTGATCGGAGAATTTTTGTGTTCTTCTGCGGCGGGTCTTGCAGAACTTAGCTCCGACCGCATGGACAGTTTCCACGAGCTTGTCATTCATATCGTCCACTGCATTGCAATCTTCTAGGCACTGAAAGCGGTTACGTAACTCGAGCTGAAAGGTTTCGGGATTCTGGATTAGAGCACGAGGGGGGACGGAGCGTTGACTTCATTAGACGAGACCTCTCCAACTTAACGTTTAGGTTCAGTGTGCCTCTAACCATTCGGTGATCGCTGCCAGTTTTCACCCTTGCGATCACTGAGACATCACTGAACAGTTGGCGTCTGGTCGTCATAATGAAGTCAATCTCATTTTTTGTCGAACCGTCGGGGCTCGACCAGGTCCACTTCCTGTGGGGCCGCTTCTGGAAGAAAGAGTTCATCATAAAGAGTTCCTCTTTCTCCATAAAGTCGGCCAGCTGCTGGCCCCTTCGGTTCCGTTGCCCTACTCCAAATTTTCCTACCTTCAGCTCACCGCTTTCTCTTGTGCCTAGTTTTGCGTTGAAGTCTCCCATCAACACCGTGTAGTGGGTTTTTGGAGAAATGCATGGCTTTGGAAATATCCTCATACATTTCCTCCAACTCCTCATAGGGATGTGCCGAGGTTGGTGCGTAAGCCTGTATGACCTTCAGCGAATAAAGTTTGGTGATTCTGAGTATCAGGTACGCGACCCTCGTCGATACACTCCAAATCTTTACAACGTTGTTGACGAGAGACTTGTGGATGATAAATCCGACACCTCCTTGGGACAGATGGTCGCCCTCCCGGTGATAGAACAAGTTGCCGGACTCGAGGATTACCGTGTCCTCCCCCTCTCTTTGGACCTTGGATAATCCAATAATATGCCAGCGCAACTTGTCTACCTCTTCTTCCAGCTCCAGTATCTTCTCATCAGTCCTCAGGGTGCGTGCGTTATATGTTGCCATGTATGTCGAGTCGTCGTAGGTGGCAACCGAACCTCCACCAAAGATTCTTAGCACCCCCTGCCCCGCCGTTACCATCGTCGCCACCGTAGCCAGGAATAGCGTGGCCGCCGGGGACTGGGGGGCCGTTTGTTTGCGTCGTTATTCATGGCAAATTTGCCATAGTTGCCACGCTAGGCGAGCGGGTTGGCAACCGCAGTTTTTTATTATAACACAGTTGTTATCAGGAAGATGCTGCTGTCCATCTCCTGCCTGTCTCCCTCTGCCGCCTCTTACGACACCCACGGGAAGATGGGGTATGGGGTAGTGGATATTCTCAACCGCCATACGTATATATATATATATATATATATATATATATATATATATATATATATATATATACAACTCGTAACATAATTAACGCACTTTGAGAAAGCAGTTTGTTCAGAATCGTTTACTGAAACGATTCGTATCATTTTTAATATAGGTAATTTTTCATTCCAAAAATAATTAAAACTATTAAATTACAGTCACTCTAAATCTGTACAGTCAAAACAAACTGAAATGGACCGTAACTTAAGGCAATAAGACTTATAAGAGTGCAGTTTTATTTGTATTATTACTAATTCTGTCATTCAATAAAAATAAAGATAAACGAACATTATTTCAAGCACGTTAAAGTCTTTGCGTTCGTGGATTTGTACTGTGACCACAACATTCTTCCGGAATTAGTATAACTAATTTGATAAATAATCAGTGCATAAAAATGTTTTACTAAAAATTCAGTGTATGTATTATGATTATAAGATAAGATATTATCTGGGGTATCTGAGGGTGTGCGTTAATTACGTTACAAAACCACATAATCTCACATCTGATGTCTTTAAAAAGTAGTAAAAAAGTGCATATAATAAAATAATAACCTTTGATACCACAATCACTAAAATAAATAATCAATAAGTAAGATCGAATTCATGTTTCCAAAAATTGTTCTACACTTGCAATGCTAATAGAATAATGCCTAGTATTTGGGTTTCGAGTAATTAAGTCATAATATTTTGTTTAAATTAATTATACAGAGAATTTGTGAAAATTAATCCCAGAAGACTCGTCTTAAAAAAGGAGTTATTCTTGAAGCTGTTTAAAACATATTATCATAATTTCGCAATTTTTATGCTCATTCGCCTCCAATCACTCACGACGGACTACCGAGCTTCCATCTGCATATTGCATGCTTCACTTTTACAAGCTGAATGGTCTGTCTTTACTCCTTTATTGGTCTTAGGTATAATCTACATTGAGATTGATCATACAGAGCCATGGTAGCTCAGATGGTTAGCTCTCGCTGTAAATTTCAAAGTACGTGAGCAAACCGTGTTCGATCTCCGCCAGCACCAATAAAATTGTTAATTGTAATTTTAAGTGCTGATTTACCATTTGCTCGGCGGTTAAGGAAAACATCTTGAGGAAAATAAAGTTATTATCATAAGTGAGTTATATAATCATTAAATTTCTTTAATTCACTTTCTAATTTAGTTAATCGTTTATCCTCTATCAAAAGGTGCATACACGAAGTCAAATCCTCTCTAATCACAGTAATCTGGTATTTATGTGTTGTTGTTTATTTTTTGTAACTTTTTAGATTTTTTTTACAATAAAGTTATTAACTTTTTTCCAGTTGGAAGCTGTGCAGCTCCTATCACATGGGATAGCTACTGTGAGCACAGAAGCCTCTGCTCAGGAGATTCATCAGAAAACAGTTGCCAAGTATGGTGTTGAACTACGATCTGAATTATTTGGATTGGGTTAGTAATATGTAATTTCTTTGTTAAGATTATACTTAGACCACTTATACTCATACTGTTCACTAAGCTACTTGATCACTTTACAGTACATGAGCAACACGAGTTCGATCCCTGCCGACACCAATGAAATTGTTAATTGCAATTTTAAGTGCTGATTTACCACATACTAGGCGGTGAAGGAAATCATCCTGAGGAGACCTGCATGTCTGAGAAATGAGAAAAAAACATATTTCGAAGATATGTGAAATTCGCCAACACGCATTGGGGCAACGCGGACATTTCATTGTCCTAAACCGCTCAAAAATGAGAGGAGGCCTGTACCCAGAAGTTCGACATATATAGGCTGTAACTTTAACTTTTTAACTGATACTGTTAATAATGAAGGTATAACTATAACCTATTTAAGTTTATGAGTAAGGATTTCAAAGATGGTCTATAATCTATAATCTAGTTATTATAAACCGAAACAGAAGAGCATCAGCATCTTCCTGATAACAGCGCAAAGTAATAAAAAGCTGCGGTTGCCTACGTGCTTGCCAAGTGTGAATACTACTGCAATTATCCAGCCTATTTGATGAACAATGGGAAGTCAATGACCAGAAGTGGATAACCCTATTAAAAGTAAAAAAGTAGCAACCTACATACATCCTATTACTGAGCACAGGCCGCAGCGAGTTTTAGGACAAAAAAGAGTTGATTGAATTGACTCCAACGTCACCGACTTCACATATACGTTAAAATAATTTCCGAATATTTTTTAAACTCTCAGATATGCAGGTTTCCTCGCGATATTTTCCTTCGCCACCGTGAACGTGGTAAATCGAAACTTCAAATTGCAATTAAAATATGAGTGGAGAATAACTTATGTATTTAATATGCTATGCTGATAGACACTCAACACATTCAATTAAAGACCTTTCTTAATCACACTTGTGAATAGTTTTATTAGTCGTTTTGCTAAAGATGGCAATAATGATAAACCATTCAAACAGGGACCACCACTCTGGATATTTAAGTCTGACAATTTTTGAGGCTGCAAGAATAAGTATTCAATAGAAAACTTTAATTTAATCACTTACTTATTATTATTTTATTTAGCAGTAAGTAGATTATTACGAGTTAGAAACTAAGAAAACCAAAACTGTACCCTCTAGTACTTAGCGATAATAAGTTGAGGTGCGACTGGGGTGGCCGAATCACACAACAAAGCTGTTCACATTTATATAATACATAAGTTATTCATAAAGTGATGTAAATTCTATTAACAATTCTGCTTCTGTAGAAATACGATGTTAGCGTTGCTAGCGGTGTGTAATTAAATTATTTTACGATATAACAACATGAAGAAATAGCAATATTTTGTTGAGTTGTTAATGTCGCCAATCGATCTCAATTCATTGATTTGGTCAAGCTGTATCATGATATAGTCAACAGAGTTAAATTTAATTAAATGCCACAATTTCGATTCATTTATGATATATCATTAATTCTCAGATCTGGCCAATACACATATTAAAATCTATTTATTTAAATTTTTCCAATAATTGGACTTTTTATCAGTTAATTTATAGATAAAAAAACTAATACGTACTAAAAACTTTTTTATGGATTGGAAATTAAACTTCTCAGATTATTTTCAGTGCCACTATTATTTATTTAAGTAGTAATTGTTACTATAGAATTTATTAATTTCCACTAAAATTAAATAACGAAAGTACTATAAAATTAACGTTAGAATTTTTAACTCATTATGAATTATATATTTATTAATAATTGGAGGTAAAATGTTACTCCTTTTTGTATTTCACGTTAGATGGCACTGTTTTGAAAAAGTAAAACGGATTGTTGGCGTTGTTCATGTTTTTACTTATTACGCAGCAGTTAAAACTAATTTTAGTCTTTTGAGGCTTTGTTTATAAATATGTTAATTATTTAAAAAAAAATACATATAATACAATACTTTGTACACAAATGAAATACATCAATTATTTAAAATAGAAATTAACATCTAAAGGAAGAAAAATAACTAACCCTCCTTTTTTAAATAAAATGTAGCCTATAAGTTGCACCGGGTCCCTAACTATCTACACACAAAGTTTCATGGAAATCTGTCCAGTAGTTTTTGCGTGAATCGTGAATACACAGACAGACAGACAAAATTCTAAAAACCAGTAATTTGGCTTCAGTGCCCTTTATTTTGTCCCCTGGACTTGTTTTTTTCCAGGAAATATTAGAATAACAGACACGACTTTTCTACTTTCTTTTCTATTATTATTTATTATTTACAGTACCTGTATGACCGAGCTTAGCTCGGTATTTTTTTGGAAATTATATTTAGATACAAATTACATACTGATGAAATATGAATAATATTTTTCGATCCTACCGACATAATAAAAAAGCTGAACTGGTTCTTTAAATAAAAAATCATCAGGGCAATTAGTTAGTTTAATTATTCGTGTTTTTAAAAACACACTAAAAAGAGGGCTCGGAATAATACACTGAATTTTTAGTTAAACATTTTTATGCACTGATTGTTTATCAAATTAGTTATACTAATTCCGGAAGAATGTTGTGGTCACAGTACAAATCCACGAACGCAAAGACTTTAACGTGCCTGAAATAAAGTTAATTTTTCTTTATTTTTTATTGAATGACAGAATTAGTAATAATACAAATAAAACTGCACTATTAAAAGTCTTATTGCCTTAAGTTACGGTCCATTTCAGTTTGTTTTAACTGTACAGATTTAGTGTGACTGTAATTTACGTAGTTGTTTAAAAATGATAGTAATCGATTCAGTAAACGATTCTCATTAAACTACTTTCTCAAAGTGCGTTAATTACGTTATATATATATATATATATATATATATATATATATAAATATATATATAAATTAAATCGGAAATAATCTGTGATATATATTTCAAGCGCAAAATAGGATAGGATACTAATATATGATAATCTTTTAATATATGTATAGAAATTATTGTTTGTTGGTTCGTATTTTATGCGCTGCCATATCGTTCATCAGATTGCGGTAAAACTTTGTCGACGTCGTTTGTATATATATACAAGAATTGCACGTTTAAATGTATTAGATTTATTATTTATTAATGCTGACTTAAGCTGCGTATCGCCTTCGCGCAGCAAACCATCGAAAATAGGCTCGCGCGGCAGCCGCGCACATTGGATACTGTGTTGTCGCGCGCGGCAATTCGAACATTGGCGCGCTCGAACGTGCCGCGCGACGAACCAATCCGTGTCGGTTTTTGAAGGCGCGGCAAAGGAATCTCAGTTAGTTGTGCTTCGCGCAGTTGGGACGGTCTTTTACGTATTTTAGTTAAGGCGCGCGCGGAAAAACATAGATGGACAAGTGTCGTACTTTAATTAGATTATATGGTACCAAACAATTTCTATGGAACAGTAAATGTAATAATAATGTCCTTCAGACCGAATTTCGGCCACGGCGGCCTGCCTCACGGAGGGTAACCATCGGCGCAGGACAGGATTATAGTGCCCAAGTGTACGCACAGGCACAGGTGCACCCTCTATTCCCTCACTCTCATAATGCGATGGGACGGTAAACCGACACGACCGGAAAGAGATCAGGCGCATGACCAACGGCTTTACGTGCTTTCCGAGGCACGGGGGTGAGACACCTCCAACTTCCAGACTCCGGACAACTACTGAGAATTTCTTGACGGAAAAACTCAATAATTAATTTTTTGGCCCGACCCGGGATTCGAACCCGACCCAACGCGTACAGCCATAACCCAGGACCTCATGATTAACAGTCACACTACTACAACCACTAGACCAACGAGGCAGTCAACAGTAAATGTAATGATTATCACAACAAATCAGTGCAGGAATGGGCTTGCCTTCGTACTTCGCCGACGTACAACGTCCATTGTTGCCGCACACAAAATGTAGCGTTCGGTGGCGGATTGGCTGCCGCGAGCGGCTGCCTCGCTGTAGTTAAATTGTGCGCTAAAATTAGCTTGCGAGCCAAAACATTGCCAAAGCCAGAGCATTGTTCAATGCGAACAATGTTCGTGCGACAGCCGCGGAAAGTCGATACCTTTAGATGTAATAAAACAACCCGAATGGTTGTGGTGTGTTAATGGAGTGAAACATTTTATTCTGAGTGAAGGAGTTGACACGTAGCTTTTCTTTCCTGTTGGGGTAATGAAATGAAATTTAATGATTATATACTTTTAACTATGATCATTTTTTTAAATTTAATAAATAAAATTTACTAAAATTAATTTAATGGGGATATAGTAACTCAGCTCAAATTCTAATTTTGCCCTCATTTCTCCGCGCGTCGTGTGCTATGTACCGACATGTTTGTAATCACTAGGTCGTTAGATACTTATTTCGTTAGGTTTATCATATTTATGCCTGTATCTTTACGCCAACCCAGTCGCTTCTTATTTTTATTACGGTTATTTCCCATTTTAATTTTACGTCGTCCTGTAGCGTGATGTGTATTCTGATGCTTACAAGTCCACTGCTGAACATAGGCATCCTCCAAGTAACGCCACAAAGCACGGTCCTGAGCCACCTGCATCCATCGTCTTCCTGCATGTCTTACCAGGTCGTCACTCCATCTAGTGGGGGGTCGCCTTACCGGTACGAGGCTGCCACTCGAGAACCTTTCTTCCCCATCGGTTATCGGTTCTTCGAGCTATATGGCCGGCCCATTGCCACTTCAGCTTACTAATCCGTTGGGCTATGTCGGTCACTCTGGTTTTACTGCGGATATCCTCATTTCTGAGTCTATCACGCGGAGAAACTCCGAGCATAGCCCTCTCCATAGCTCGCTGAGCGACCTTGAGCGTCCTCATATGGCCAGTAGTGAAGGACCACGTCTCAGATCCGTAAGTCATCACTGGCAACACGCACTGGTTATACACTTTAGTTTTCAGAGATTGGGGTATACCTGACGAGAAGATGTGTCGTAATTTCCCGAACGCTGCCCAGCCGAGTTGAATCCGTCGATTGACCTCTCGGTCTAAGGTGGACTTACCTAGTCGGACTATTTGTCCTAGGTAAACGTACTCGTAAACAACTTCGAGCATAGTACTCCCAACAAAAACCTGCATAGATGTGACATGGACATTTTTTTTATAGAAGAGGGGGCAAACGAGCATGCGGCTCACCTGATGTTAAGTGACTACCGCCACCCATGATCAACCGCAACACCATGGGAATTGCAGGTGCGTTAAAAATGATCTTTGTTTTGTCCATGTTCATCTTAAGACCTATCCGTTGGAAGACATCATTGAGGTCATTGAGCATAGTGCTAAGGTCCTCCAGCGATTCTGCCATAAGGACTATATCGTCGGCAAATCGAAGGTGAGTGAAGTACTCGCCATTGATGCTAATACCGTAACCTTTCCAGTCCAGTAGCTTGAAAACGTCTTACAACGCGGCGGTGAAGAGTTTCGGGGATATAACATCACCCTGTCTTACACCTCTCTGCAGTTGGATAGATTTCGAACTCTGGTTCTGTACTCGGATAGCCATCGTAGCTACTGTAGAAACACTTCAGCACTTCGATATACCGACAGTCAACTTGGCACCGCTGAAGGGACTATAGCACCGCCCATATTTCGACGGAATCAAAGGCTTTCTCATAGTCCACATACGCCAGGTAAAGTGGCAGATTGTACTCTTCGGTCATCTGTACAATCTGCCGCAGGGTATGTATGTGGTCTATGGTACTGAAGCCTTTTCGGAAACCGGCTTGTTCGGGAGGCTGGAAGTCGTCGAGTCTGCGTGCGAGACGATTCGTAATGACTCTCGAAAACAGCACGTAGACGCGGCTCAGAAGGTAAATCGGTCTGTAGTTCTTCAAGAGAGCGTTGTCGCCTTTCTTAATGAACAAGACCACCGCGCTTCTGCTCCACGCCTCCGGAGTAGTGCAACCATGGAGGACGGAATTGAAGAGCTTCTGAAGGACTTCAAGTACCGGTGTTCCACCCGCTTTCAGAAGCTCCGCTGTAATTCCATCCTCGCCCGGGGCCTTGCCGTTTTTAAGGTGCCTGAGAGCCATTTTAATCTCGCTCAGACTGACGTCCGGGATATCATCGGAATAGTGTCGGATAAGAGTTGCTCTTTGATCGTTACTTACACTTGCGTGTGGCTCCAACGATGATGTGTACAGCTGCTCATAGAATCTCTCAATCTCACTCAGAATTTCAGGTGTCCCGGAAACGATGTTGCCACACTCAGTCTTCAGCTTTGACAGTTGGCTCTTTCTGGCAGACCTGGCAAAGACTTTGGAGCCCTGGTTCCGCTCGACCGCTTCTTTAATACGAGCAGTATTAAAGTTGCGTAAGTCTCGTCGCATGCATTTGGAGATCTGTCTGTTCAGTTGCCTGTATGCTGTCAAATCTATTGACGATTGCAGCCTCTTCTCCCGTCTAACAGCCATGAGATTAAGAGTGTGATCGGAGAGTTTTTGTGTTCTTCTGCGGCGGGTCTTGCAGAACTTAGCTCCGACCGCATGGACAGTTTCCACGAGCTTGTCATTCATATCGTCCACTGCATTGCAATCTTCTAGGCACTGAAAGCAGCTACGTAACTCGAGCTGAAAGGTTTCAGGATTCTGTATTAGAGCACGAGGGGGACGGAGCGTGACTTCATTAGACGAGACCTCTTCAACTTAACGTTTAGGTTCAGTGTGCCTCTAACCATTCGGTGATCGCTGCCAGTTTCCACCCTTGCGATCACTGAGACATCACTGAACAGTTGGCGTCTGGTTGTCATAATGAAGTGAATCTCATTTTTTGTCGAACCGTTGGGGCTCGACCAGGTCCACTTCCGGTGGAGCCGCTTCTGGAAGAAAGAGTTCATCATAAAGAGTCCCTCTTTCTCCATAAAGTCAGCCAGCTGCTGGCCCCTTCGGTTCCGTTGCCCTACTCCAAATTTCCCTAACTTCAGCTCACCGCTTTCTCTTGTGCCTAGTTTTGCGTTGAAGTCTCCCATCAACACCGTGTAGTGGGTTTTGGAGGAATGCATGGCTTTGGAAATATCCTCATACATTTCCTCCACCTCCTCATCGGGATGTGCCGAGGTTGGTGCGTAAACCTGTATGACCTTCAGCAAATACCGTTTGGTGATTCTGAGTATCAGGTACGCGACCCTCGTCGACACACTCCCAATCTTTACAACGTTGTTGACGAGAGACTTGTGGACGATTAATCCGACACCTCCTTCAGATGGTCGCCCTCCCGGTGATAGAACAAGTTGCCGGACTCGAGGATATCCGTGTCCTCCCCCTCTCTTCGGACCTCGGATAATCCAATAATATGCCAGCGCAACTTGTCTACCTCTTCTTCCAGCTCCAGTATCTTCTCGTCAGTCCTCAGGGTGCGTGCGTTATATGTTGCCAGGTCGAGTCGTCGTAGGTGGCAACCGAACCTCCACCTTTCTTCTTAGCACCCCCCTGCCCCGCCGTTACCATGGTCGCCACCATAGCCAGGAATAGCGGGGCCGCCGGGGACTGGGGGCCGTCTGTTTGCGTCGTTATTCATGGGGGGATATTATCCGTAGTTGCCACGCTTGGTGAGCGAGTTCGCAACCACAGTTTTTTATTATATCACATTTGTTATCAGGAAGATGCTGCTGCCCATCTCCTGCCTGTCTCCCTCTGTCGCCTCTTACGACACCCACGGGAAGATATGGGGTAGTGGATATTCTCAACCGCCACTACACGGCACGATAGTATAGGTAAATTCTTGTTACAGTGAAAATAATGGTAATTTAGAAAAACATAAGCACTGCTTTATAGTTAGTTCACTTAGTATGCAAAGTTTCATGATCTAATTTAAAATATTTTATGAATAACAACGGTTTAGTGTTAAATTTGGAGGTAACTTTTGATTTTTTTTCTATCGAGAAAATTTTACGGAATCGTGTTTTCGTCTAACATAGTATTAACATTAATCCTCAACTTCACCATATATTTATTTTAAAATTAATGCTGCAATATTTTCGGCATAACGGAGGATCGTGCTAAGCAATTTGTGGTAGTATTTTTAATATTTCCCCTTAATTCAATAAAATGAAATCTGTTTATTTTTCGACGTAAGGATTTAAGATTTCATGATCTTTTTAAATTAAATGTCTTATAATCCTACTACCTAAGATGCTAGGACACTATTGACATCATCTCGAGACAAAGATAAGTTGTATCAGGTCACCCATGTCTCTGCCACTGTAATTATGTATCCATGAACCATCTAGCACGAACATTTTTCGCTATAGGATGAGTAGTTAAAGTAGTTCCCAGTTTGGTACAGCCATACCCCGCGTTAAAAGAGGACAGAAGATTACCTCAGTGACCAATCATTCAATCAGCAAACATTGAAATACCTATAGACTACTATCCTCTCATGGAAACTGTTGCTTAGTTATACATCCCTAAATATTTTTAGCATATTTTATATCTCAATATATCTTTTAAATATATTATTAAACTTAAATTCGTTGTTCTGATCCAGATACGGCTATATCGAGATCAGTGGAGACAAACATTCCATAAAGCCGAATGATATATTCTATCACAACATATGGAATTGTACAGATGTTTAAATTTTACAATTCAATAGATTTATAGATAAAGAGTTAAAAATAGTGGATTCCCTTTAAGATAGTAGTAGTAACGCTAACCGAAAATAATATTATAAACTTGTATTTCAATAATTCGAACTTAATAGAAATTTAATTATATTGACTGTTCATTTGTTCATAAATCCTATCGAAGTCCACTGTTGAACATAAACCATCCCATAGATTGTCTCGTAATTTTATATTTATATTTGCCATATTGGCCACGCTCAACAGGCGGATTGACAACGGCAGTTTTTTATTTTCTAGTTGTTTTTAGAAAGATGCTGCTGCTCATCCCCTGGTAGTGGATATTTTTACATCGCCACTACACGGTTACTATTTAATAACTGTTAATATTACTTAAATATAATATTATCTTTTTGCAGAAGATAGTGATGAGGCATTACGTAAACGGAATATTATTAAAGCACCAAACTTCACCAGCAACAGTACGAGCCAGGAAGACATTGACTCCTTGCTCAAATATCATCAGAATATGCAAGAGAAGGTGGCCGAGAATATGGTGTTGCTTACTAAAAGCTTGAAAGAGCAGTCGCAAATTGCCAGTACTATTATTAAAGCTGATACTGAGGTAAATTTCATGTTTCATAGATTAATAATTTTTAATTGATCACTTGCCAATCAGATTTTTATTTAATAATCTTCAAAAACTACTTGACTTGTAAGCACTAACTGACTACAAGTTTGTTTGTTGACAAAACCTAACATATAAGTTAGAAAGGCCCTTTCTAAAACTACATATATGTTAAGGTTTTATTTTGCTGTACAAAATTTTAGATTTTATTATAATTTTAAGATAAGATACCTAATACTATATGCAGACTACCATGCATGCATGTTTAGGCTATGGCAGAATACCAGATTCTGTGGGTCTCCTACATTCACTGATCCATAGACCATTTTGTCTCCAACTAGCATAATAAGATTTGTTTATGTTGATGAATTTGTAATTTTTTGAGACAAATAAAGACTTATTATTATTATTAAAATAATATTTAATATTTTTTTAAATGTATATTATAGAGCAGATGTTAGTTAAACAATTTGGCTTATGTTTTATTGCAATAGTATACATCTTCTGCAGTCCTTTATAAATTAAATCTAGATTTAAAATATTTTAAGTTTGTATATGTTTACTAAATTGTTTTAAGTTGAATTTTCTTATAATTGCAGGCTCTGAAAAAATCTTCAGACCTAACGGATCGTAACGTGATGTCATTGAAAGTGGAATCTGAGCGACTCCAAGAACACAGCCGTAGTGCTTGGAAATGTTGGCTGTGGATCATGTTGGCGGTAGTGATGGTCATATTTATTAGTAAGTCATTATCATGATACGATTGATTTACAAAACTTAAAACATTCAACAACTAATTGAGGCGTATGATCGTAAATTCGCTTCAAAGGTCTATCTTGGTAAAAATTCGCTCAAACTGAAGCATATCCCAGGTAGGCTCTTATTGAAAATTTTCCGCTTTATGGTGACGGCGTAATCATCAACCATTTCGTCTCATAAGTTCTGTAAAAAGTGTCTTACGAAAATAACCTCCGATAGTCGGTTCCGTAGCGCATAATTGACGCGCGACTAAGCATTGAATTGCTGCGCTGAGAGCCATGAGTTCGAATCTTGCATAGAACAAATACTTATATGTCCTACAAATAATTGTTCCAGGACTGGATGTTGGTCCTTGTGCAATTTATGTATGTGTAAACTACGAGTGTCTCCACGATACAGAAGAGATGCTAGTGTGGGGGTATGTTTTTTAAGATAAAAAAGAGGGTTATGTTCATCAGACAGCAGAGTTATAAGTTCGAAATATCTGATACTGCTATCGCCACTCGGCCTAACAAGCGTGGCGATTAAAGCCAATCCTATTTATAAAGAAAGCATTATATCCAGCAGTGTACTGTTTGACGAATCCGATAACGATAAACAATTAAAACGAACACTTAATTGAGAACAATTACCGGGTGTTTGTTAGAGACCGGCGACGTAAAACAAGGTATGATTTGTATTACATCTAGTACTGCAATAGTAAACCATTTGCTTAACTTTTAGTTGTATGGTTGTATTTTATTAAATGTGGGATTCCGTGTAATTTCTATATAAATCAAGATTTCATCTCATAAAATTCTACGATCGGACCACGCGACTTATACATTTAAATCCTAGTGTGGAGGTAACATAAAAAAAGAATATACTGCTGGTCACGCCTCTCTTCCTTTCTGAACGGGATAGGTATATTATGTATAAAATATTAATAATATGATTTTTCTCTGTTACAGATATGGTATTGTTTATGAAAGTCATGAAGAAAAGAAAATATTAAACATAGGTATAATATTTATTACAGTAATGTAAGTGTATGTTAAGTCAGAATGTTTCTATTTCTTAAATGTATTATAAATGTTGAATAATGCCTAATAAAACACAAATTACTGTCGGATATAGTTTAATTATTTTAAAAACTACTAATACAGTAAAATATTTAAACAGTTATAGTTTACCTGTACAGTTTTTAATTTCGTATTTTAAAGTCGAAACTTTTTTACTAAATTTAGCTTTAAGCTCTTATGAATTTGAAAAGTTCGTTTTTAGGTAATAAATGGCAAGGCACTTACAGCACTCAATTCGTTTTACTCTTTCTCCGCTGTTAAACAGAACCATCCTCTGTTATGTTTCAGTTTTAAGAATAAAAGGGCTTGTATTATGAGTGGACGATACAAATCGTTATAGATGCCACTGCAGTCTACAGCACATCAAAATTTCATACCTTCACAGAACATCGAACTCGAAGAAATAATAAAAACGTAAAAAGTATGTATTATATAATAACAGAAATCACTAAGATTTTTCGTTAGTTATTACAATAATTCCATATATCTAAACAATGCAAATCCCAAAAGATTAGCTACGATCTGCTTTGGATCCTATAATTATTAAAATTAAATTCAAAACCAAGCATAGCACTGCCGAACTTCAAGACACTGTAAGCTCCTTGTGCGTAGATCGAACTATAAATTTATATTCAATAAATTAAGGTAGCCGGGCTAACTATGACATCGGGACGCCAAACACCTCAGCCAGCATCCAGTTATAGCACCTTCGGGGCTATAAAGCACCCGAAAAGTAGGCAATTAAAAAGTTAAAAAACTGAACAAAATCCATTAAAAACGCGTATCATCGTGCGGGGTACTAAGTAGTGAGTAGAAGTCAGTACTGAGTATTGACTTCCATATAGGATCTTAAATATGTTTTGATGTAGGATAAGAGTGGTATTATCCATGCCTAGCTAGTACTTAGCTATTGGAAAAATTATTATAACTATCTAGTATTTACCAGTCTCGCCATAAATGTAGGGATTTTCTTCTGGTATAATGTAGTAGAGCCACGCGGCAGCTTTTGCTGTCTCACGGATGGATCGGGTCGAACAGGGTGGCTCCACGATCTCGCAGAATACCAGTGTAAAGCAGAAGTTTAGAAGTTAAAGCAGAAGTTTAGAAGTAAACTTCTGCTTTACACTGGTATTGCAGGTGCATCTGCGTTTCGCCTGGTGAGTGCAGGAGGCTGGAGGTCCAATTCTCCTCCCCCTCTAAACATGGTAGCGCAGTTAAATAGAACACTGCGCCAGGAGAGTACCGGCACTCCTGATGCCGTAGAATCCTTCGCTGAGCATCCACGCCCAAGCTATCCTACTTTTTCTGAGCGTGGGTGCTAAGCTGCCCCGGGTGTTTAGGGACGAAATTCCGTTCCGACCTGCTCGGGACGAGCGGAGCAATAAGAAAAAGGTAACCCCTGCCGCGCTATCTGTGAATTTCTGCAAGATTAGGGGATTTCTTTCAAACTTTAACGCCGTCCACTGCCATCTGGAGACGGCGAAGGCGGCTTTGCTCTTTCTAACCGAGACACAGGTGTCCTCTCCGGCTGGTACTTCCTATCTCCTACCCGGGGTACAAATTAGAACACTCCTTTTTGCCCTGGGTTGGGGTTTGTGTCTACGTCAGAGAGGACATCTGTTTTCTACGCCTCGGCAGTCTTGAAGGTACGGACCTGTCCATCCTATGGCTGCGCATAGACAGTGACGACTATTCCCGCGTCTACGGGTGATGGTCCCATAGCGCTAATGCCGACACAGACCGACTCCTCGACCACGTCCAAATGGCTGCTGACTCCGTGATACAACAGGTCCCATCCGCAGAGATCGTGATGCGCGCTGATTTGAACGCAGAATGTCTTGGTTCCCGTTTAAACGATCATGCGGGTAGATCTGTTTTTGACTTTCCCTTGGGATATAATCTTACACAACTGGTTACTTTACCTACGCGGATCCCAGACGTGGAGGATCATGTACCTTCCTTGTTGGGCCTTCTGCTGACCTCTCACCCGGACGAATATCAGGTCTCCTTCGATGCCTCTTTTCGATCTTCGGACCATTGTCTGATCCGGAGTACGGTGTCACTCACGCTTCCATCGCGGTTGCGTTCCACAGGTTGACGCCGTGTTTGTCTATATGTCATGCGCACTATATGTCAGCTGATTGGGACAGGATGCGGTCTTTTTTTGCATCCTTTTCTTGGGGTTGGGTTTGCATCTCGCCGGATGATCCCAACGATGTTACTGAAGCTGTCGCTGAATGGAACTATTTACTCCATCATCTGTGGTGCCTATCAGAGGCAGAACTCAGTCATGGTTGGGTTACTCCTGTGAAATTGGATTACATAAGCAGGAGTGCTACCGGGCCTGGGCTGACGCATTCACGTCTCAGGATGTAAACACTGGTGCTCTTAAAAATACGTATAAATCCGCCTCCAAGTCGTTCAAAAGTGTCATTGGCAAGGCAAAGTCAGAGCACATCGGCAGAATAGGCGAGAAACTAGTTCGACTTCCTTCGGGAACAGGTGCATTCTGGTTTCTCGCCTAGGCTGTCCAACGGAACTTCTGTCAGCCATCTGCCATCTCTGCACAGAGAGGTCGACTCACACTGGCCCATGCTGCAAAGGAGATAGCCGATCTGCTAGGCTCTCTCTTTGCGTCCAACTCGACTCCTCGATGACGGGGGGTACACACCGCCGACCATCCCGCGGTGTTAGTGCTCCATGCAGGATGTGCTGTTTACACAGCGCACAGTGCTCAAAACACTTCTCTCCCTGGACGTCAACAAGTCGAGTGGGCCTAATGGAGTCCCACCTATTGTGCTGAATACGTGCGCTTCGGAGTTGGCAACGGTACTTGTACTCCCTAGGCGTAGTCCCGAACTCATGGAAGACAGCTTTGGTGTCCCTATAAAAACGCCCGCTCAAATACGTCCTAACTACAGGTCTATCGCTATCACCTCCTTGTTACCTTGTACCTTGAGGATCACTAGCTATTTAGTGACCCCCAGTACGTTTTCCGTCGGGGTCGCTCAGCTGGTGATCTTCTGAATTACCTAACTCATAGATGGGTGAAGGCAGTAGAGTTCAGGGGGGACGCGTTGGGCGTTAGTATGGACATAGCGAAGACATTCAATCGAAGAAGGCCTTTGAAGGGGGAGGTTGTGTCGCTTACGATCAGAATATACATTACGCAACAGGACGACGTAAAATTAAAATGGGAAATAACCGTAATAAAAATAAGAAGCGACTATGATAAACCTAATGAAATAAGTGTCTAACGACCTTTCTACTTACAGTATTAGTGATTACAAACATGTCGGTACATAGCATACGACGCGCGGGCAAGTGGGGACGAAATTAGAATTTGAGCTGACTTACTATATCCCCTTAAGAAGGTAGCTGCTGTTCTTATGTATATATCACGTATATTATGTACATCTTACGTCCCATATACCGTCTGTGGTTATTGAATAAAATTGAAAACGCAGCGGAAACCACCTTGATTGAAAAATAGAAAACTATTATAGATAAGATCGAGATGAGGAAATATGCTACAACCCAATTTGCAAAAACAAAAGGTAAAAGGGATGAAGGTATTAACGAAAAGGTTCTGCTTGTCTTCATCAGTCACCAGTCCAGGATAAAGCATGTCGGCATAATCAATAATGGGTGAAGACTCTAAATCTAAATCACCACAGAATTTTCTCCGTTGACCGGAAGAAAATTCTATAGTGATTTAGAGCACTCAGTTTAGTCATAACTAAGCTATTGAATTTTGGTATCCAGCGGACCAATTTAAGTTTGAATCAATATAATCATCGAGATTTTGGACTCTATTCTAAATCCTTATTAGAAAAGTAAACTAATTTCATTTCCAGTGGACAATTAAGTTTAGCGTCATCATTATTTTAGCCCGAGAGGTTCAAAAACTCGCGAGCGCACATAATAATTCGCGGTTTTGAAGCAGCAAGAGCATTCTCAGCTGATCTTTTTCATACAAGGTGGTCATGGAGGATATTCAAAATACTTGTAGTTGAGACTCCAATCATTTTCACTTCATTAATCGTCTGTCTTCCAGTATGATTGTTCTACACTTAATGATTTTTTAAGAGAGGCCTTAGTGTGTACATATGCACGGGAAGCTGTCAAAAAATACCCGAGGCGAGGATTTTCTTTAACAGTACTCGTATGTCAAGCACAGGTCTACCCTCATTACTAAAAGAATTTGGAGTAGAATAAAGGTCACTGAGTTGCGACAATGCGTCAGACTTCATTTCTCCTCAAAATGTTATATTTTTTATTTGTATTTGTATTTTTTATTATGATGCGTTTGTTCACCGCCCAAGTACGTGGTAAAGCAGCACTCTTTTATTAGCAGTAGCACACATTAAAATAGTAATTAACGATTTCATTGGTGCTGTCATTGATCTACCTTGATTTGCTTGCATATAAGGCGTGTGCTTATTCTCTGAGCCGCCTAGCGTCTTCTACTAGACCATGCTGTTTGTAAACTATGGTTTTACTAGGACAAAAGTCCTCATAAACCAACAGCATCTCTTCCAAAAAGTTAATTGGTTTATAGTAGATTTTCTTGCTTAGATTCTTACATATAGGTACGGCATTTGATTGTAACGGATTATAAAGCCAAAGTGGCAATGGGCCGGCAACATAGCTCTAAGAACTGACAACCGATGGGAAAACAAGGTTCTCCATTGGGAGCCTCGTAACGGTAAACGAAGTTTAGGGATGGCCACCCACTGGATGCAATGACGACCTGGTAAGAGATGCAGGAAGTCGATGAATGCAGGTGGCTCAGGACCGCGCTCTTTGACATTTCTTGGGAAAGTCATATATTAAAATACGAGTATAATACAGTGATATATAGTTCAGTGGTAGTACCTGTGATAAGCTGTTATGGTGATGATGACGGTGAAGCAACTATTAGAGCCATGAT